GTGATAATCATCCTCATAATTACTATCACAAATTGCAAAAATAACTCAACCTACTCATAATTTATATTCTACATAGATGGTTCAATTAAAAATATCACTAAAAAACATTATACTATGGGAATTGGCTGAGTCCAAATCCAAAATAATACAATTATCTATATATGCTCAGCAGAATCTAACTCTGACCATCATTATACAAAGCTGAACTTATTGCAATACTTTCTGCTATCAGTACATATCTCAGAAACAGTTCTATTACAATATATACAGACTCACAATCAATTATATCCAAGTATAAAAAACTTAAACATTCATCACTAATACCTAATAAACAATATTTATATAACTACTAGCCTATATAGTATACTTTGCTTAATATTATCAAAGCTTACGAATTAGATATTTAATTAAAAAAGGTCACAGTATATAATAATTACACCTTTAACAATCTAGCAGACAGACTAGCAAAAAATGTTAACTATTTAACTACACTACAATTTATAAATAATAAGAATCTTCTTTAGTATAGATGGGTATATATAAATTATTACAAGATTATAATATATAAAACCTAACTAATTTGAGCCAATATAACTTTTAACTCTAATCCTAACTCTAATAATTTATAAAATTACTTAAATTGGCTCAAATTAGTTAGATTTTATATATTATAATTTTGTAATAATTATATATACTCACCTATACTAAAGATCAACCTCTATTAAAAATATATATAATGCTTATATTATAGCAATGTGGTCATTCTAACATCACATAGACAATATAATACCTTTATTATTTTAAATTAATTGAAATGCAACCTGACTCTATCTAAACAACAATCACAAAAGGTCAACCACTTATACTAACTTTAAATTATGCCAACAAAAAATATTTAAAATTAAGTTTATACTAGATATACTTTCTACTTTAATACATTAACACACATTATACTTATTAACAATTCTAAATAACAACTATATAATATATGAAGCTCAAGAAAGCCAAAAATATTAGCTTACTTGCCCAAACACATCTACAATAAATATACTTATTACTAATACTATACAGCAATTTCTTCACTACTCAAATATGGATATAACCAATACTTAGCTACAAAACATATCGGCTAATTGATGAAATAACTAGTCCCAAAATATTTACTGATCTGCAAAAAATCACATGCTAATTGGATATGAATTAAAAACATTTTGCGTCAAATTTATTTCTTACCTAAAAAAAACAATAAAACTTATGTCAACCCATTTCTCCCACCCCAAACCCATTTCTCACTTTTCAGAAAGTAATAGAAATTAGTAAAACATAGTAATAAGTATGTTTATAAAATATTTATTATATTGTTAATTTGTTTAATTATGTTAATTAAGTAAACAAATACTAATTCAAAATATAAACTTAAAACAAGCTTTTCGAAGCATATTAATTTGATACATAAATGCTATTAAGTATAGAAGATAGAAATTTATTACTCGAAGTATTATTTGGAGGTTTCAAAATTAACAAATAAGTAATGTATTTCAAAGATAAGTATGATTTTTAAATAGCATCTTACTATGTTGGATTATAAATAGTTAAATATTTATTAATCAAAGTACTTTATTGTATACCGATTCTCTAATTAATTATTCATATTTATTATTAGAAAAACTTAATTTACATTATGTTGAATTCAAAATGCGTAGAACAGACAATTCAGGTTTATCATTGTATAGTATTAAGTTTATTTTATTTAGTAGATAAGCATTTATTAGTCGAAGCTTCATTATACATATCTAATTATTTTTATTTATATTAATTAAATACGTATTAATCTAAGAGAACTTCTATGTAAATGAATATTCATTATTTGAAGCACATCGAATAAGCTATTCAGATTTATGAAAATTTACATTACCGTATTTCTGCGACATGTATACTCCCCTGTGGGCTGTACCCTGCAGCGATTTTGGATGCCAAATCACCTGGGTATATAAATGTGTGAGTATCATACTTATATACCCGGGCATGTAATAGTAAAACATATTAAAAACATAGAAGTATTCATATGGTATATCCACCTATATGAGTACCTGGTACATGACATGAACTAGGGGAATACCCAGGTACACATGTCGCAGAAATACGGTATATAGCATCTAATCAATTTATCTATTTGGTAAATAAGAATTGGGTGATTCAGAATTAGTATTCAGGTATTGATTTCGAATTAATTAGTGGCGTATTGTTTTGAAATAAGTGATTTATAAATTCTGAATCACCCTAACTCAAAATTTTTATTACACTTATCAATTTTATTCATATTTATTAATATGCCCCATTTAATCAAAGAATAATCACTATATAAAATTTTATTTTTCATGTTAATTTAACTAGATGAACATTTATTATTTGATGTATTTTAAAACAAAACTCATGATAAGTAACATTGTATATTCCACCATGGATATTTGCTATTTCCACCATTCTGCCATACATTTCATACGACTTTCAGTTACATAAACATGACAAGCATATTGTCATGATAAATTATGTCAAATTGTCAATATATGCCAATTATTAATTGACGAATGCTATTTTTCAAATTGAAATAACTTATATAGCTGAAGCTCATACTAAAAGCATGATGGAAATAGCGAATTCTCATAGTGGAAATAGGCGTTCCCTTAATATATTAGCATGAATATAAATATTATACACTATACGAGTAATAAAATTCATAAAATAAACTATATATAAATATATAAATATCTATCAAACTTATATATTCTTCGTGGACTAGCTTTGACTTAGAGATGGATCAGTCCTGAAAGACTGAATAAGGACTGGCTTTTACTGGTCTTACAGTTATTCAGTCCACCAGTCCAGACAAGTATTCATAAATAGTTAATATCTAATTAAAAAGAGTATTTTGCATAATCGCTTATTTTCAATTACAGGTATAACGTACCTTAATTTTTCTCAGCTAGCAATAAGATGAAATAAGATGGTTAGAGTTTTAATGATTAAGAACTGCTTGGGGGACCAAAACTAAACTGAAAAACAGTAATAAACCTGACTGGGACGACTAAACCGAAATGATTCTCACTAGCTTTGACAGAAATGATTCATTTCAACAAATGATAATAAACTTTGATTTTTGTTTCAATATTATTCAGAATAATACTTTTTCGTTTTCTAATATAGAATAATTACTACTACCAATATCGCTTTTTCTCCCTCTTGCAAAATGACTTCACTAATGCTTTTCTATTCTCTGGTCGAAACAATTATTATTATAAAGAAGCCAGTGTGATGTCCTTGGGGATGTCTTTTCTTCTTTTGATTCAAGTTGATCAACTAGTATTCAAAGAAGTCGAAGGTTTTTACCCTCCAATATAAGTTAATTATTAAAGAAATTAAGGTGGCATTTTACAAGATTCTAATAATATTCACCAATAGCCATTTCACTAAAAATCTACCTCTAGCCAATGCTAATTATAAATTAGGCAACCCCTGTTCTTAACCAGGTTAATTTTGGCAGTATAACTGTCAATGAAATAGTTGTTGGCGAAATCAGTTTATACCCTTTACAAGGTGGTTGTCATCAAAATCCAAAAGAACTATTGTCGCAAAGTGTTTCGTTGATACTTTTTCTTCTCTTGATTCTAGAACACTGAAAAGCCAAAGTAGTGTTTTGGCGAAGTCTTCTGTGATCTGTACTGATGGTATCTATTAAAGTTGTCTTTTGCTCTCTAAATAAAATTGATTCAACGAATTTTACAGTTAAAACTTTAATTTAGTGTTTCTTGTGTCTCTTAAAAAATCTAATTGGTCGTTAACAATTATTTAAAAGCAGTTAGATCAGAAAATATACAATTTTCTTATCATTATTATATCGATATGTGTAAAAAAAAAAAAAAAAAATTCAACAGGTACGTATGTATGTACATACTGTGAATGGCCATATAAAATACCCCCCTTGATAGTAGACTCCCTCTATTATACCTGGGGTATAATTTAAGTTTTTTAACCGGTAGAATGTAACATACCCGGGTCATCTATATGGCCATTTACGGTATATGTCTATAAGTTCTTACCGTAAATATGCATGCACAAGATCCGGGTCCATTAATTTTATATCCTTTAATAGACAGTTTAAAAACGCATACTTGCTTTGTATTTAGAATATGTAGTTTAGGCATTTGAAAAAAAAAACTGCATTTGATCATTAAGTTGTTTATGCCTTGGTTTAATTCATAGTGAAACTATTGAAGTGAGTTTCTTATACGTATATTTATGATAAGTGGAGGTTTTAGTTAAAATTTTCTACTTGTAAATTAAATAAAGCCAAGAAAAGTTGGCCATTAACTCAAGAATAAGTCCGGTAATAACAAATAATAAAAACCTTATTCTGGTTTTTTTCTTGATATATATATATTAAAAATAAATTTAATTAAAAAATAAAGATTATCATTATACGTATAAAATAATTTATGCAATTAACAATTAATACAATAAATTAAATTTGGATCATCACAATTAATTTTTTTTTAAATATAATAACGATAATGTAAGTGATCTAAATAACGCATCAAACTTATTAAAATTCAAATAAACCTATCGCTATATTTTAGTTCAAATATTTTTTATACTTTATCAATGAATTTTGAAATTGAAAAAAACTCATCATATCCATTAAGCCCTATTATAATTTACAAAGAAAAAAAAGAATACTATTCAACGTAGTTTTAGTTATGAAATTATTAAAGAAGGAGTATATTTAAAAGCTCTATTATTAGCTTATACATCTACATCTAAAGAAAAACAATATAAAATTCCAGATCAATATGGTGTAAAAACTACTATAGGACGATATAAAAAAAAAAAGTAATTTATTGTTCTATAAATTATGAAAATAATTGTCCTATTTTTTGTATTTCTTATGGTGAAAATTTTGAATATGAAATAAGCTCTACATCTTCAAGTTCAGCTGCTAATAAATGAGAAAAGGTATAAAAATTAGATTAATTTAATTGAATTTGTTATTATAAATAAAATTTAACATTTATAGTATTTATAGGCTATAAATCCAAATTCTAAAACAGCATGATCAGGAATTTTAGTATTTGGATTACAACTTGAATCAGTAAAAAAAGCACGTGAAGCAAAAAATAGAGAGTTAAAATCTATTGAAGATTGTAGTAATCATACAATTCTTAGGTGTGCAAAAAATTTTGGATGTCAAGCTCTTGAATTATTAAAATCTAAATCACAGGATAATTATTCAAAAAAGGATCTTGTTAATATTAAAGCAATAGATTATTTGGTTAATAATTATAATTTCCATATAGATTTTGAAAAAGAAGATTTAGTTAAAACAAAACAAAATCAATTAGCTACTGTTCAAGCCCTAAATAAAGCTAAGATTTCACGAGAAGGTTATCGAAAAATAGCTGTAGTTAATCCTACAATTTCACATGAATATGTAGTATTTAATGAATGCATATTATTAACTAAACAAATAGAAGCTAATATAAAAATTACACAAGTAAATCTTGATTTTTTGGAAGTTGAAATAAATTCTACTGAAGTAGAAAATGCAGATCCTAAAGAAATAACTAATATGGCTAGAATTGGTGCACAACGTAGTATTAAGGGTAGAGTATACGTAGATCATTTATCATATGATATGCATGACAATTTTTTTTTGTGTAACAGATTACATAGTAAACACAAATCTAATTGGGTAATTACCTGTTTTAGAAATATTTTTA